GGGGGGAGCAGGAGGAATTCGGGGGTGAGTTCTGGGGTGCAGGAGAAGAGAAACAGGGCAGGGGGGCAGGACGTTCTTGGGGTCCTGTTGGGACCAGAGGGGAGGCAGTGGGGTTTGGGGGGGAAGGCAGGAAAGGGGAATTTCAGGGGGGTTTGAAGGGCAAAAGAAGGTGGAGGGGGCTCCAAGGAGATTTTGGGGTACAGTGGGGGAGCAGGGACTGTGAGGGTTTGGGGGCGACTGAGCACCCCTTAGAGGGGGTCACCGTCCCGGGGCTGCCCCCACAGCCCCCCTGAGCCCCCGTTTGGTGGTTTGGGGTGGGGGGTCCTTCCCTGGGTGCTGTGCAGGAATGGGGCCACGGGGGGTCCTCACCTTTGGGGGAGAGGAAGGGGGTGGGGCTGTGCTGTCCCGTGTCCCCCCCAAACCTCAGCACCTCCATCCGTGCCCATCTCAGGGTGACCCTGGTTCTTCAACCCCTGCACCCCACATGAACCCCCCAAAGGAACAATGGGGGTACAACACTGCCCCCCCATCCCATTATCCCATTATCCCATCGATCCTGTTGATCCTATTGACCCCATCCCACTGATCCCATTGATCTGATCAATCTCATTGATCCCATTGATAGCATTGATACTATTGACCCCATCCCAGGGATCCCACTGATCCCATCCCATCCCACTGATCCCACTGATCTCATTCATCCCATTGATCCCATCCCATTGATCTGATCAATCCCATTGATCTGATCGATCTCACTGATAGCATTGATACTATTGACCCCATCCAAGGGATCCCACTGATGCCATCAATCCCATTGATCCCATCCCATCCCACTGATCCCATTGATCTGATCAATCTCATAGATCCCATTGATAGCATTGATACTATTGACCCCATCCCAGGGATCCCACTGATCCCATCCCATCCCATTGATCCCACTGATCCCATCAATCCCATTGATCCCATCCCATTGACCCCATTGACCCCCTCCCACCCCACGGGGTGCAGGCCCAGGGGGTTCCCATGTACCCCACCCCCCCGTGCTGCCCCTCCAGGCTGTCCTGTGCCCTCGGGGCCACCTCAGGACAGGGGATCGATGCTCCAGGTTCTATTTAGGGCTGGGGTGAGCTCTGCTCCCGGCCTTGGCAGGGGATTGTGATCCGGGGAATAAAAATTCCTGGGATGTCAGTGCGAGCTGATCCCAGAGCCAGGGGCTCACATTCCCCCCCGGGCAGCGGGGCCAGGGCTCCCCAGCACCCCCCAAATGCTGCAGGGTCCGTTTGGGATCGGGGTTCTGCCCCCAAAACCCCCGTGGGAGTGGGAAGGAAATCGGGGATTAAGGAATTCCACCCAGGCCACGTGGCCCCCGCATTTTATTTGGGAAAAACAAGGCAAAACCAGGGAAAGTTGTTCCTTTTTAATGGTGCAAAAAGGGGTTTGGAGCACTGGGGTTAAAATGCCAAACTGGCAGGAAACTTTCACTGCTTTGGGGTTTTTCCTCTTCTCCAGCAGTTTTGGGGCCCCTCCACAGGGCATTTCCTCTCTGATGGAGTGATATTGTTATTATTATTATTACTATTATTATTACTATTATATTTAAATAATATAATTTAAAAGATTATTTATTTATAGATGTTTATTACATATTTTTATATTTTATACATTTATATATTATATAATATTATTTTATATAATATATA